CTATCAAGTCTCAATTAAAGGTAGAATGACACCAATTTCACAGGAAACGTTTGCGAACTGACACTTACTGGCAGAAGCTCCCCCTGTGAAGTAGATTTTAACACACTGGATGTCATAGGAAGGATCCTAGAGGCAGGTAAGTCATGTCTCAGAGTGTTTCCTGGGTCTGATTTTTTTTTTTTTTTTTTTAATTTTGGCTAAAAGTGTTCCTTAATGGAGTTTCAGCAAGTATGGGAGAGAACATACTGTTCTTTGAAAGGTGCAAAGGAGACAAATGCCATCCAAATCGTTGGGTGCAGAAGGAGCCAGACTTCTTCAACAGTTTTCGGTGAGGATGCTAAGTGCATGAGTGGAAGGTCTGTAATCCGTGGTTTTAAGGAGGGATGAGCGCCCAGGTTCTGTGAGGAGGCGGGGCGCAGGGGCGTGGGGCGATGCTCCACACGCATTCTTTCCTCTCCCGCAAAGCTCCATGCTTCACCTGAGCGCTCCTGTTTGTGCATGCTATTGGAGTTCCAGCGCGAGCTGCTTGCCTCCGTGGGCTCCCTGCATCCGTCTGTCCGTTGTGCACCCGCTCAAACAGAAGCGTGGAAGAGGGCACGAGCACGCCAGCGCGAGCATGCAGGATGCTGGAGCGAGCCTGCCTCCTAACGTTCGGTGAATATGGCGGTGTCCAGAGTCCGTTACAGAGAAAAAGGTAACTGAAACTCAAGTCTAACTTCCTGAGCATGCAGTCACCACTGTCACTATCCTTGGCTTTAGTTTCTTGTATCTTGTAGGCACTGTGGCCTTGAAAGACTGAGTGCCCTCCCTAGGCCAGCCTGAAGCCTGGGAGTTTTTACACTGGCAAGTTTTTACATTGGCAAGTGCCCAGACCAGGGCTTCTTTCCATCATTCTGTAGGCTGTCTGGCTTTTGATGTGTGTGCTGGGGTGGATGGGCGGAGTTAATAAAGGAGGTGTGAACTTTGAAAGCGTGCCTCCCGTGTCCCCTATACTCTCAGGAAGCTTTCTAAGTGTTGGAAAGCCTTGTTTAGTTGAGCAAACAAATTTCTCATGTTGTTGAAAAATGGGTGAACTTTTGACATGCAAGCATAAATATCAGCAAGAAATACAGCCTTCATGTTGTAGCTCCATCAATTGTCATTGATGTTAGTGACTTTTCACAATTGAATAACTGGCCTTTTAAATTCAGCCTTGCATCTCCTTTTGGACCTTAAGGGTGGCAATAATCAAGAAAAGCATTATGTGAAAATCAGATGAGTAAAAGGAATTTACAACAAAGACTATTTTATTATTAAATTGTGTGTGACTATTATGTAATCACGTGTGTGTGTGTGTGTGTGTGTGTGTGTGTGTGTATGTGTGTATGTGTGTGTGTGTAGGATTTTGAGACCAAGAAGGTGAAAAGTGTTTTAATTTCGGAAATGAGAATTGTGGGGTGAGTATTCTCATGTATAATGTGGTGCTGTGCTTGCTGACCTTATGGGGAGTAACTCAGTATGTATAATTTGCTGTATAATTTTTAGGACATAAATTGGGCACTATGTATGAATTTGTAGTTTTGGATTATGAGTGGTGAGAATCTGATGTGTGTATTCTCATGTAGGTGATGGTGTTTGTTTAGATATTTGGAATTAAGGGATTTTGATAGTGTGTAGAGCTTATTGTATTTAGACAATGTGTAACCTTGGACTTGGGGTTAGGTATTGTAATATGGGTTTGGAAATATTTTATCTCTTTTTTCCCTTGAAAATTGGGATCTTTTTGTTTGTCATGGAGTTTGGAAGAAATATATTTGCCTTGGGCAAGAAATAAGTGCATGTGGACAATGTTAAAGAAATCATGCATATTTCTGTGGCAATACAAAAGGGAGAATATTGTTGAGAAAATGCAGGATTATTTGTATGTTTGGAATGCCGTGGATAGTTACAGGATTTGTCTACTGTGTTTATAGCATGTGAAGACAGGTGTGTGACAAGTTTTTTTTGGGGGGGTGGCTTGTAGAGTGGATATGTACTCCTGTAGTGTCAAGTTCATATGATTCTACATTTGAAAGATGAAGGAGTTATTTCATTGTGGATATTCAAAGTGTGTCATCTCATTTATGCAAGTGGTGAGATTGTACATATGGCGGCAGATATATTTGCACATTTGAAGTGTTATATAAATGTTTGATGTTGGTGGAGAAATACATGGGTATGGAATTTGTATTTTCTTGTATGGCTTGTGAATGTTTATATTTTCTATATATGACCAGAATTTTGTGTGGAGAATATTTAGGTGACAGAATGTTTATTAAAGTGTCATGGCAGTTTGAATGAATGTTCTCTATTGCTCTATATATGGTAAATAGGGAGTAGTGAGTATACATATAGCAAATAAGCAAGGATGTGTGTATTTGATGGATAGATGAGATTATGCATTTGCACAGGCAAGTGTAGCAACTATTTGCTGCATTGAGGTTTATAATATAGTCACGTGTTAGTATTGATGATGTAGGAAGTGTTTTCTAGCAGCTAGAGATAATTCTGGATCAATGAGTGGTTTGTATTTGTAATTTAAATGTTATAGGTAATACTTCTCTATGTCTTGGGCATTTACACTGGTGGTATATATCTATCTCTGAGTACATAAAATATGTATATTTGTTCATTGAAAAAGAGGTCATTTGTTCAATATATTATTACTTTTACATTGCTGTTATAAAACATCATGATCAAGGCAATTTATACAAGAAAGGGTTTATTTGGGCTTTCAGTTCCAGAGGGTAAGAGTTCATCATGGAGGGGAAGCATGCAGGTATGGCAGCAGGACCAAGAAGCTGAGCAGTCAAATCTTGAACCATAAGCACAATTCATAAGAGACTGAACTGGGAATGGCATAGAGTATCTAAACTCTTAAAGTCCACCTCCAGTGACATGCTTCCTGCATCAGAGCTGTACCTCCCAAGCCTCCCAAAATAGCGCCACCAACTGGGGGCTAAGTGTTCAAACATCTGAGCTGGAATATTCTCATTCAAACCACAGTGTATAAATGTGCATTAGGTTTGTTAATGATGCTGTGTTTCTAGTGCTCATGGGAATGTTTGGAGGATGAGCTCAAAAGTTTGTGTTTTATAGATATAGAATATTGAATAGTATGTTATAGTAATATTCATTCAGGTACTGAAAATGTTTTTGTCTGTGTGGTCTATGTGTGTGAGAGTTGTATGTATATAAGTTATTGTACAGAAATTAGTCAAAATACAAATTGTGTGTGTGTGTGTGTGTGTGTGTGTGTGTGTGTGTGTGTGTGTGTGTGTGTGTGTTTATGTCTGCTTTTGGTGCATGGCATAAGTTTCCACATAAGTGAGATTAATATATTAATATATTGCATTCAATCCATGTGTTTGGGGAATGTGTATATGTACAGTGTCTGAGTATATTGATGGCTCAGAGATCCTCTTTGTGCTTTTTTAGGACTGAGTTCTTGAAGACTTTGCTTGAATGTGTGACCCAATGTTTGCATTTGGTCTTTTGTTTTAGAGAAGTATATGTTGTTTGTAGTTGTTGTATGTATTTGAGTTCTTGGGGTTTATGAAGGTGTTTTCTGGTGGATACGGGCAGTTTGTCAATGGAAGTGGAGAAGCTGTGTAGATTGTATGTGCATTCAGGAATTGTGGAATATTTCTTTTGGGACCGTGAAATTTTTACATTGGTCTATTTGGGGGTGAAACATAAGAAAATTATTGTTTACATGGTAATTTTCTAGACGGTGTGCCTCCTGGATGTCTATTGTATAGGCAATGTTGAGTGTCCTTCTGACTAGGAATTAGAGACATAGCCTGAAGCAGTCTTAGCCCTTGATGGAGGAAGTAAAGGGGTCAGATCATGAGCTATGACTCTTATGCTAAGTGTCTCCCAAACTCTTGTGTTGTGGGATTTTTTTTTTAAATTCATCAATGTATGATATATGTATGTGTTTGGTGGCACACAGGTGTGTGTGTGTGTGCGTGTGTGTGCGCACGCACACATGCGTTATAAAATCTTTCTGATATTTTTCTGCTGACTGGATCACAAGCTTCTTCACATTTCCCCATCTCTGCCTCCCACCTCCACATAGGAGAGCTGGGATTACAGGCATGTACCCTACTGCATACAGGGTTATGTGGTGTCCTTGGGCCCAGACTAAGTTCATCAGGCTTGCATAGCAAGAGCTATACTCATGGAGCCATCTCTTCAGCCCATGGTCAAGGTTTTCTTCATACCCAGAGGACTACTAGGAAGGATTTCTTCTGGAAGTAGGCATAGTCAAAGAAATTAGGTCATCCTGAGTGTGCTGTCAAGGTGGTGTGAGAACCAGAAAGTGTCGTATTTAAAGTTGCAATCAAGGGAGTTATGCTTGCTAAAGAGATTGGTGCAATGAAAAATGTCCTTTGCTTTGCCCTGGGTAGAAAATACCTTGAGGGACTCTTAGAGATCAGCAACAGCCTCCCATTTGAGGCTCAGAAGCTCGTGTTTGAGAAGAGAGCCCATACCTCTCCCACCCTAGTGAACTCTGCTTTCCCAGAGCCACCCCAGGAATTGTCCCCAGAATCTGTCCAGCTCCTGAGGCATTCGGAGGCTTCTTTAGTTATGGACCATGTTTTTCTGGCTCCAGCTCACACTGGTATCAGAGCTTATGGTCCTGGTTCTATATGAATTATAGAAGAAATCCTGTAAGGCCAAGCAGTGTCAGAATCCAGGGGAGCAATTCCCATGAGAAAGTGAAGCTGCAATAAAACCCCCAGGAATACAGGGGACCCCAGGGGCTTAGAATGCCTGTTGAAAGAATCAGTAAGCAGAGCCAGCCCCAAGCACAGGTGTATGGGTTGAAGTGGACACGTTTATCACAGAAGTGCTGTTCACGGCCTTGGTTATCTATATGATGTCCCAGGTGCTTGATATGAAGGTACAGACTCTAATGTTTGCCCCACTGCATTTTTATCTTGTTCTGATCCGATTCCTTCTTTTTTTTTTTTTAATCTCATTCTTCCCCTTTGAAATCAGAGCTTTTACCAAATGCCTTTGCATCTTTTAGCATGCATACCTTTCTTTTTTAAGGGGCTCACAGATAGTGCAACGGGGGAAGCTTAGATTCTGCAGCCATCTAAAAGTTTGAGAGAGGGCATGGTGGGAAGAAAAATTATTTCATTTAAGTAAAACTTGCTGTCACAAGATGAAAGACTAGTCAGTGTTATCACAAGGACATCTATGTAGCATCTTTTGTGGGAATATTCTCACAGTCTCAATTGGTTGGTGTCTTAGTTAGGAGTTTGCCTTGAATCTCAAAGGAGACTTTGGACTTGGACTTAAGCAATGCAGGAACCATTGAGAATTTGAGAGACTCTGGAGATAGATCAAACACATTTTGTATTTTGGAATGAATGTGAGCCTTCGGGGCTTTTGGTGGGGTCTTGTGTATTGGATCTTAAGTATCTCTCAGGGCTCATGATTGTTAACAGACTTGGTCCCTGGCTAGTGGCTCTATTGGGAGGTGGTGGGAGCTTTTTAGGTGGAGCCCAGTGGAAGGAAATTAGGTCATTAGAGGCATGGCCTTGAAGGGCATATTGGGACCCATCCTTTTCTCTCTTTCCTGGCTGCCTCTGCTATACACTCTTCCTCAGGATACCCTGCCACGCCACTGTCACAGATGCCACAGGGACAAGTGGCCATGGACCCTGACCTTCAAAACTGTGAGCCAAAAGCAATGTTTTCTGCTATTAGGTTGTTTATCTTAGGCCAGAGATAGAAGGCTGACTGACAGTTTCCAACCATCACACAGGAAGTTCCTCCCCTTCTCTCCCTCCAAAATCTCCTCTTGTGAATTCATTTGATCTTAGTTTAAAAGACAAGAAGTGATCCCACTCTCAGGTGACAGAGGACACTGAGAGATCTCAGTTTAGGGTCTGGTGGTCCACATCCTTCCCACAAACCAAGACTTCATTCAACCATCTTTTCAGATACAAATACCTCCATGGTACCCCAAGACTAGAACTGAGGAATGCAAGGATGCTCTAATTCGAGAACATCCCAGAAGCCACTCAGCTGTAGATATAGGTTTAGGTAAAGGGAACCCAGACAATCCCTGGCTCAGCTCAGAAACAGGAAGTGGACAGTGGAGCATCTTCTCAGCAAGAAGATAGTTGCCTGTGTAGGCAGTTACATAGTAAATGTCCTATGTGGGGTCCTCCTGTCTTTGGGGTATCCTTCAGTGTCCCACAGTAACTTCGTCCCCAGAGCACATATATCTAAAGTGTTTGTTTTCAGCATTGGCTGGCAAATGCCTTAAAGTGCATCCTGGGACAGAAGACAGACTGAGGGGCTTGTCCACATCCCAGAGACCTGTGTCCTTGAGTAAGCATTTTAACCTCTCAGCCCAGCTTCGTTTTCTGCAAAACAGAGTACTAGTGATATCAACTGTCCGGGCTTGTGAAGATTAAAGTCAGTGCGTGTAAAGTGCCTGGAGCAGTGAATGGCATCCCATATGTACTTGTTATAAATTCTGTAGCTAACTGCTCATCCACTCAGAACATGCTGTCCATTTTCCTGATTTGGTCCTCTTTCCCATCCGCACCCAGTCAGCTGGCCTCATCTCATGCCTCCTTGCTTCTGCTCCTCAGTTCCCAGCCTCATCGTCTTACGGCAACAAAGGCTTGAAACCCGTGTCCTCCTCAGGATTGAGACCACAGGGATGGGAGCAGACCAGTTCACTTTCAAATCCTGCAGAGCGCCCATCATGGTGTCTCCATATGGGGAGCAGAGATGAAGAATGTTTACAGGGGTATGAGTTTCTGACTGTTCCACAAATGCAGTCACCTGCTCCCCAGAGTCTACACCCCATTGGAGGTGTGACAGAAGTGACTTCAGTTCCTCACTTGCCACATCCCTGCCTAGCCTGTGTGATTCAGTGTAGGCTCCGTCCACTATGGCTGTCGCCCTATGACCTACTTTGCCTAAGGCCTTCCTCCTTTACCTCTGTCTTTGAGGCTGGCTGCTGAAGGCTGTAGTACAGGACAGTGGTGTCCCCGTCAATGTTAGTAAGCTCAGAGCTGGGCCGAAGCACTTTTCAGAGAGGCCCCTGTAGTCACTGATGGAAGTAAATGCCTATTGCATGTTTGTCCACAGCATTGCTGCAGTAGAGAGTTGGTATACCCCAAAATGAGTACACACTTCATGCCAAGACTTTAGAACCCTCTTTGGGAGAAATCTAAAGCAATGGAAACAGTTTTACTCAAGACAGTTTACTCTGTTCTCTGGAGTTTCTCCCAAATTTCTGTTTGTAGCCATTCTTGTGCCTAGGCCATATGTCTTAGTTGCTGATAAACATCTTAAAAATTATGTGTGCATGCTATATAGACATAGTACACATGCTCTTCATTTATTGACTCCTGTAAGATGTAAAATGTGTATGAAAAGCCAGTGATGTGGGCAGTAAGTGAAATCACCAAGGGATGGACAGACATACAGACAGGATTTATTGAAATATAGTACAAGAAAGCTGTAGGTAAGCCTCAAAGAGGGGATCATGCAGCTGAGAAAGGAGTGGGAGTCTTGTCTAGTTCTGACTGAGAAGGAAGTCACTTGGTGTTACCTTTTGGGCTGTTTGTTTGAGTCCACAGCTGGATAGATAGGGTGCCATCTCACTTTCTTATTAAGCAGCAGATTCTACAGTGTGAGTTGTTTATATTGGATAGTTGACTGTCTATCCCTGTAAGGTGCCATTAGTCATATGAGATAGTGCTGTGGGATGTTCTGTATGGCAAATGTGTTGATAATTAGTCAATAAATAAAACACTGATTGGCCATTGGCTAGGCAGGAAGTGTAGGCGGGACAAGGAGGAGAATAAAGCTGGGAAGTGGAAGGCTGAGTCAGAGAGAAACTGCCAGCCGCCATGATGACAAACAGCATGTGAAGATGTCAGTAAGCCACGAGCCATGTGGCAAGGTATAGATTAATGGAAATGGATTAATTTAAGCTGTAAGAACAGTTAGCAAGAAGCCTGCCATGGCCATACAGTTTGTAACCAATATAAGTCTCTGTGTTTACTTGGTCGGGTCTAAGCAGCTGTGGGACTGGCAGGTGAGAGAGATTTGTCCCGACTGTGGGCCAGGCAGGAAAACTCTAGCTACAAATGGCGTCCAACGTGGTGGCAAGAGTTTCCACCTAAAAACTGAGAAAAAAGATTCTAAAACGGAGCTAAAAACAGCTTCCTAATTGTCTCTCTCAAATGAGCGGCAGCTGCCGGTTTGAGCTACTTGTGGGTTCCTAGCGAGGTGCTCGACCTGCAGTATGGCCGGAATGAGTCCTCTGCAAGTGGCACATTAAGCTGCGTGGTGGATTTAGCCTTTGCAGGTACAAAACAAAAAAAGAGGTTTCTGGACTACACGCTGCTTGGATAAAAGCATAGACCCACGATAGCTCCCAGAGCTGGTGGTAAACGTAGCCATGTTGGGAAGCTGAGGTGGGCGGAGCCAGCAGCCACAGCTGCTGCAGCTTAAAGCAATAGATTCACAATAAGACAGATTCAGATGTAATAGTTTACAAAGTGTGTAAAATATACGCAGGCTTGAAAGAGACAAAAAAGGTGATATATACAGTTATAGAAACAAATACATAGTTTTAAAAAATAAAGTCTTTAAAGAGACAGTAAAATTAATATAAAAGAGTAAGCCACGTAAAGATGAATATTACACAGAGAATCTGGATTGTGTTGTCTTTGGGATTCTTAACTGCAGAGAGATATTTGATTGTAAAGGAAGCTGAGTTAAACCAAAATGTATATTTTAAAGGTACCTTGACTTCAAAATTTGGATATAAGGATATGTTGCTTTGGAAAAGAGTCTCTTTTGTTCCCACAGAAATCCAGAGGCTATGGATTTGTTCCAGATTAAGATACATCAGGTTTGACCAGCCAAGACCCCCTGAAAGGTCTCCGATGACACCATGGCCCAGATGATCCAACATCCAGAATGGTTTCAAGGTAACTGGCTCAGACGATACAGCCTCACGGACTATTCCATAATCCTAAAATTTTCTTTGTGTCCCCATAAGATACAGCGCCCCCCTCCAGCAGGAAGTAGTAAGAGAAGCTACGCCCAAATTCCCAAATTATATGTAATTTTACTTTGTTAAGGTTAAAGCCTTCCTTTTTGAAAAAAAAAAAAAAGGAGAAGTGCTGTGGGATGTTCTGTATGGCAAATGTGTTGCTAATTAGTCAATAAATAAAACACTGATTGGCCATTGGCTAGGCAGGAAGTGTAGGTGGGACAAGGAGGAGAATAAAGCTGGGAAGTGGAAGGCTGAGTCAGAGAGACACTGCCAGCTGCCATGATGACAAACAGCATGTGAAGATGCCAGTAAGCCACGAGCCATGTGGCAAGGTATAGATTAATGGAAATGGATTAATTTAAGCTGTAAGAACAGTTAGCAAGAAGCCTGCCACGGCCATACAGTTTGTAACCAATATAAGTCTCTGTGTTTACTTGGTCGGGTCTGAGCGTCTGTGGGACTGGCAGGTGAGAGAGATTTGTCCTGACTGTGGGCCAGGCAGGAAAACTCTAGCTACAAGATAGACTTTAGTTATTTGTGTGATATATCTTAGGTCACCAGGGAGCCGTGCTCCAAGTGGTCATGACCTCGTGGTTAAAATAAAGAGAATTTCCTTTTCTTTTTCTTTCTTTTAACCTCCTTTGTCTGTATAATACCCAGAAGAGGCTGGTCTTTGCAGAATATGAATAACCCAAGAGGCTAAAATTCATTGTTTGAGACGGATTAAATATCATTAAATGAAGAAATCAAAGACTGTGATCTTATATTGAATTCCTTATAGTTAAGTCTCTGGAACAGTTTTGCATGAATGATTTTAAAGGTAAAATGAGGAGCATAATTTATCTGGGAAGAAGTCATAATATGGGAGGATGTCTCAGTCAGCAAAGTGTTTGATGTGCAAACACAATGTGGTGGTTTGAAAAAGGATGGCCCCCAGAGGCTCACTGTTTGAATGCATAGTCATCAGGGAATGGCACTATTGGAAAGGATTAGGAGGTGTGGCATTGTTGGAGGAAGTGTGTCACTGGGAGTGGGTTTTGAGGTTTCAAAAGTCCCAAGCCCAGAGTCTCTCTGTCTCTGCCTATCTATCAGGATGTAGCTCTCAACTACTGCTCCAGCTTCTACCTGTGTGCCACCATGCTCCCGCCATCCTCCCTTCCATGATGATAATGGACTAAACCTCCGAAACTGTAAGCAAGCCCAATTAAATGTTTTATTTTATAAGAGTTGCCTTGGCCATGGTGCCTCACACAGCAAAAGAATAGTGACTGGGACACATGGGGACCTGAGCTGGATGCTAACTACTCATATAAAATGTTGTGCATGGCAGCATGCACCTGTAATTGCAGCACTGAGGACCCTGTGGAGACAGGAAGCTCTCTGGAGCTTATGGCTAGCTGGCCCAGCCAGCTCAGTCAACTCCAGGGTCAGTAAGACCCTGCCTTAGAACTAAGAGCAATGCAGGAAGACATGTGACACCAGCCATTGGCCTCCACACGCGCATGTGCATACACACACACACACACACACACACACACACACACACACACACACATGCCCCCACAATCCTCCCTACACACATGAAAAGACTAGGCCCCCAAACACCCTCACCTGATGCTGTGTGTCACCTGAAGTGTCTCATTAGGGCTGTCTTGACACAGGTCGCTTGTCACCTTACCTGTTACTGCTCTTGTGCTCTGTCCTCTGCCCTTCATATCCAGATGCTGTCTGTCACTGACACCGAGTGCTAAAATGGCTGGTGGATGAGAGTGTCTTCTTGTAGTGTCCTCCTCAAAAATTCTTAAAGCACTCACTTCCTTTGGGATGAAATCTAAGTGGCCGATCCACTCCTGCTGCTCCTGCTCACCTTAATTCCATTTCTTCACGTGCACCCTGAAGGTAGAAGGAAGACATTTTTACATTTGGGGCTGTGGCAGCGGTGTGTGTTCAGGGTAGTGTGTCTTTCGTGTAAAACGTTAGGATTGCTATGTATGAACTGGATTGAGGAACTGTATGAGGGAGCTTAAAAGCCATCCTATGTGATTGTGGTGGGGCGTGGTTTATATGTGTGACTGCTCTTTTGTAGTTTATGTGAATATTCAGTGTTTCTGGGGAGTTGTATGTGTGTATCTGGGCTATGTGATGCATATGTTGAACTCTAGATGTGTGTGAATTCATAGCTTGTGTGGATTTTATGCACATGTCTGAGGAGACTGGAGTGTCTTGTATGTCTTGCCAGGAATGACAAGCCAAAGGCACAGGGTAAAAGTATTTACTAGACTAAAATTGATATAAAAATTTTAATGAAGAATCTGTTCCACGGACAGACACACATGGGCAAACCACACCCATGAGAGAGTAGGCTCTTTTTTTTTTTTGTTTTTTTTTGTTTTGTTTTTCGAGACAGGGCTTTTCTGTGTAGCTTTGGCACCTTTCCTGGAACTCACTCTGTAGCCCAGGCTGGCCTTGAACTCACTGAAGAGATTAGGCTCTTTTATAACAGCTGGGAGAAGTTGCTTTGTCTAGTTAGGGCAATTTGGTTTTGTTTTTTGAGTTGATGTGAAATTAGAGAGTTCAGATTCTGTGACCTCTGAGGCTCAGTACTGAATACCCTGAATGCGTCCTGCATCATGGCACTGCTCTGTTTGTGAGCCAGGCGCCTCCAGGCTGGGAAAGTGGGGAATCTTGTAATGTGCTCTAGTCCTGCAGGGAAGGCCAAGTGTTTGCACAGGTGTGAAATCTAAAGTTTGGGAAGAGAGGAGCAGGGAGACAGTCCAGTCAGTAAAGTGCTTGCTTCACAAGGGCGACAACCCGAGTTTCATTCCTGGCACCCACTGAAAAGCCAGGTGTGGTGCTGCATGCCTATAATCCCAGCAGGGGGATCGCTGGACTGGATGGCCAGGCATCCCAGCCTAATCAGCATGCCCCAGTGAGAGATCCCTGTCTGAAAAGCCAGGAAGGTAGTTCCTAAAGAATGGCACCCAAGGTTGATTTATGGCCTACACACACATACACACACACACACACACACACACACACACACACACACACACACACACACACACACTGGAATTAACTTCGTTTTGTAAGGACTGGCTGAGGTGCCTTAAACGTTGTTTTTAGGGACTCTGGAGAAGCCCCTAGGCTCTAGCAATTGCATCATACGCCCGTATGGATCAAGCTGTTGTGACCACATGGCTTCACCTGGACGTATTAAGGACGCCCTGTAATGGTGCTCCTCTTTGTAGAATGTACAACCTCTGAAGTTTCTGATTTTCTGATCAGGAAGACGAGTGACTAGAGCTTTAGAACCCTATTAGGGGTGTCCCATCGTCTCCTGTTCCCTGGGACCTAGCTGACTTAGAGGGACAGGGCTGAAACCTTGGCTGTCCTCTTTACCCCATATCCTGTTGGATTTGCCGTAAACATGACTGTTCATGCTTAAGGAAGGTCAGTGAACGAATAGTGGCAAGATTGAATTGTATGCACATTTAGATAAACCTAACAGACTAAAGTCCTGATTTTGTTATAACTTGGTCTTTCTAAGACACCCAAGCCTGACAACTCAGTAGAAACCGAAAGGAACTATCCTGATAAAATATAAAGTCCTGTTCTGTTAAAATGTTATATCTGTCACCTTTTAGCTCTGTCTCAGCTTCTGGCTCCTCTTTGTCCACTTTACAAACTTCATGAAGTAGTTTGCATGTTTGTAAAGGCGTAAAAGCAGGGACACAGGACATTCTGGGCACTTTTGTCTTTTGCAATACAGCTGTAGCAGGAGGGTGATATTAAACTGTCAGTTACTGGTCATATCACCAGCATTTTAAATGGATTTAAAAACGATTTTTGTGTGTGTGTGTTCATTTGTGTGTCCATGTGTGTGCATGTATGAGCACCTGCATATAAAGGCCAGAGGTTGCTGTTAGATGCCTTCCTCTGTTGCTCTTGATCTCTTTTCTGAACTAGGTTCTCTCATTGTGCTTGGAACTTGCCAGTTTGCTGGATTTGCTGTCCAGCAATTCCGTGGGATCCTCCTGTTTCTGGAGGCCTCCGGGGTGCTGGGATTATTGCACATGCTGCTGCATCATGCTTTTCACATTGGGTACTGGTGGCCAAACTTAGGTCCTCGTGTTTGCTCAGGAAGTACCTTACTCATTTAACTATGTCCCTACCCCCCCAACATCTAACTCTGCCTAGTGACATTGCCTGCATAGGCAGAGTTAACCTCTGTGTTACCATTTTAACTTCCTTGGGCTCTCACTGTGTAGGCCAGGTTAGCCTCCAAATCATGATCCTCCTGCCTCAAAGCTGGCTATGAAAAAATAGAGACCACTTTTCTGTGTCAGATCTCCATCTCTGAGGGCTCCAGGGCACAAGGGGCCTTTCCAGGACACCAGTGCTTACCGGGAGAAGGTGACTGTGAATTCCCAGGCTGAGCAGGGACTGTCTCTTCACAGTGCTGTCTTATTTTCTTGTTGAAAGCGAGTCAACCACCTGGGACCAGTGTCTCCACTTTCTTATTTAAAAATTAGTTCAGGGAGTTGGAGAGATGGCCCAGAGCTTAAGAGGACTGGCTGCTCTTCCAGAGGTCTTGAGTTCAATTCCCAGCACCCACATGGTGGCTCACAACCATCTATAATGGAATCTGGTGCCCTCTTCTGGCCTGCAGGGACACATGCAGACAGAACACTGTATACATAATAAATAAATAAATCTTTAAAAAAATAATTAGTCCGTAAGGTGAGGAGCCATTGCAGAGAATGTCCCGTGACAATGATAACTCTTAGGTAAAGAACCAGGGGAAAAGCAAAGCAAACGACTCATTCTGCTTCCCAGTCTTTCCCCTAATGTCCCTAGTTATTCCCCTCACATTCCAGAAAACAATCAACAAGAGTTTTCTGTTCCGGACATCTTTCTGACTTGCGGTATGGACATGGTTTCCACCTACACAGCTACATCCCTACTGTCAATCCTTCAGTTCTGTGTGGTGTGGATTACTCACTGGCTTGTGTTGAGTGGGCACAAATCCTAGGGATTTGGGAATGGAAGGTCTTAACATGCCAGGATATGTGCGGGAACAGTCAGGATTAGCACAGCAGAATTTCACTCCTGCAGCTAGTTAACTGAAACCCGAGGAACTGCTTTTCTTCACTAAAAATGATCCTGAAAAGACAGAAAGCAAAACAGAGGAAGAGGCACAGAGGAGTTAGTTCCAAATGGACATTGCTGTGCTTGTTCTTTGCATGTGTGTGCAGGTGTGTGCGCACAAGTGGTGACCAGAAGATGACTTTGGGTGTTGCCCTTGGAAAGGCTCTCTCCCTTCTTTGCAGTACAGTCTCTCACTGGCCTGAGCTCACCCGTTAGGGTGGACTGGCTGGCCTGCAAGCCCCCCCCCCCCCCCCCCCCCCCCCCCCCCCCCCCCCCCGTCCCTGTCTCTTAATTCTACCTTCCTAGTGTTGGGGTCCCAAGTACTTATCGCTAGGCCCAGAATTCTCACGTGGTTGCTAGGGATGGAATGCAGGTCCTCACATATGCAAGACAAGTGCTTACCGACTAGGCCGCCCTACCAAGACCAGTTTTAACATTTCTTTTTTCTTTTTTTTTTTTTTCGAGACAGGGTTTCTCTGTGTAGCTTTGCGCCTTTCCTGGAACTCGCTTTGGAGACCAGGCTGGCCTCGAACTCACAGAGATCCGCCTGGCTCTGCCTCCCGAGTGCTGGGATTAAAGGCGTGCGCCACCACCGCCCGGCCAGTTTTAACATTTCTTACAAGCCTAGTCGAGTGGTAATGAATGCCTTTGGCTTTTGTTTATCTGGAATGCCTATCACTTCTGGATGACAGTTTGGTTAGATACAGATTTTGGTTGACTTTTAAAGCATTTTAATTCTGTCATTCTACCTTCTAGATTATAAGACTTTTGTTAAGTAATATGTGGGACACTTGTATGTTATTTTTTATCATCTGTATTGGATATGCATAGACCTTTTGGTGTGTGCATGTGTGTGTGTGTGTGCGTGTGTGCGCGCTCGCTTGAGTGTGTGCAAGACAGCTCCCAGCATGGGCTAACATCATTACACACATCCTCTCCATCACTCATTGCTGCTCGTTTTCTTCTTTATTTACTTATTTGATATTTTCATTTGGATGTATAATGCATTTAGCCACTTCCAGCCTCCTTATTCTCCCTCCCTCCTTCCGCTCTCCCTGAATCCCTTTTCCTCAGCAGGTCCCCTCCTACTTTCTGTGACTTTTTATTGTTGTTTTGCTTTTTTTTGCGGCTCACTAAGTTTAATTAGGGTTGCGTGCATGAACATGGATGGGTTTATTTCCTGGAACGTGAGCAGGTTACCAGTGGCTACATCACTGAAGAAAATTACTTCCACTCCCCTAGCAACCATTAATTGCTAGTACCTGGGCGGGGGCGGGGTGGAGCCTCATAAGCCCGTCTCCCATCCATGAAGAAATGTTAATGAGCCCATCTTGTTCAAGTCTGTACAGGTAACACAGCTGCTGTAATCATGAATCTTGTTTTCTTGATAATAGATAGTCTGACTCGAATGAAATGGAATCTTAAAGCATATTTAATCCACATTTCCTTGATTGCTAAGATGATGTTGTTGTTTTAATAAGCTTTTGGCCATATGTATTCATTTATTATTGTTTTTATTTATTCTTTGAGAATTTCATATATTTTGATCATATTCTTTCTCCTCCTTCAACTCTTCCTAGATCCTCCTCCACTTCCCTACCCATCCAACTTTGTGTTTTTTTCTCTTAAAAAATAAAAACAAAGCCGGGTGGTGGTGGCACACGCCTTTAATCCCAGCACTCGGGAGGCAGAGGCAGGCAGATCTTTGTGAGTTCGAGGCCAGCCTGGTCTACAGAGCGAGATCCAGGAAAGGCGCAAAGCTACACAGAGAAACCCTGTCTCGAAAAACCAAAATAAATAAATAAATAAATAAATAAATAAAAATAAAAATAAAAATAAAAACAAAACCTACAAAAAAATGTGGAGTCCATTTTGTGTTGGTCAACTAATCCTGATGAACTACACCAGGGGTCTGTCCTTGAGTGTGGTTAATATACCCAGTGTCACTCCGTTGGAAAAGAAAACTGATTTTCCCTGCTCCCAGCAGCTACCAATTTTGGTTAGGGGTGGAACTTTGTACCACTACTTCCCCACCTCTGTGCCAGC